CCCGTTGCTGCTTTTCCTTCCTGGGCGACCTACTTCAACGACAAGGGGACTGGCGTCTCTCTCGCTCCCTCGAAGTCCTGCTTCTCGTGCGCATAGGTTCGCTACTTCGATTCATCTCTCCTTCCAGCTCAGCCAATGTCCTCCCCTCTCATTTGCTATTGAAGAATAGCCTATTTGACATTCGCGCTTGTCTAACCTTCCTCAACGAACTGGATTGAGTTGTTAAGTCTGAGCACATTAATAGGACCTACGTAAATGAAGCACTTGCCCCATTTATTCCTTACGGGGGCAGCACCCTCGAGGCGATATTATTAATGCTAAACTTGAAAAGCCTCACGCCACGAACTAACTGTTTTCGGCGTCCTAGTTCAAGTACTGGCTGGTGTAAGGGCAGATTCATCAATCTATTTGACGTAACTATCAGAGCTCAGCGAAATTTGCATTGTACCCCAACAAATTCCTGAACTGACGTTTTCAGTCTGTCTGGGTTCATTAACTTGCTGGGGCAAGGGCAGATTTATTAATCCATTCGGCATAATTATCAGAGCTTAGCCGAGTTACCATTGTGCCCCAGCAAATTCCTGAATTGCCATGTTCGGCCTGTCTGGGTTCATTAACTTGCTGGGACAAGGGCAGATTCATCAATCTATTCGGCGTAACTATCAGAGCTCAGCTAAGTTACCATTGTGCCCCAGCAAATTCCTATAACTACTGTGTTCAGTCTGTCTGGGTTCTTCAACTTGCTGGGGCAAGGGCAGATTCATTAATTTATTCGGTGTAACTATCAGAGCTCAGCCAAATTTCCATTGTGGCCCAGCAAATTCTTGTAACTGCCATGTTCAGTCTATCTGGGTTCATCAACTTGTTGGGGCAAGAACAAATTTATTAATCTATTCGGCGTAACTATTAAAGCTCTGCCGAATTTCCATTGTGCCCCAGCAAATTCTTGAACTGCCATTTTCAATTTGGGTTCATTAACTTGCTGGGGCAAGGGCAGATTCATCAATCTATTTGGCATACCTAGTAGAGCTCAGCCGAATTACCATTATGCCCCAATAAATTCCTGAACTGCTATTTTCAGACTGTCTAGGTTCATTAGTCTGACTGGTTCATTAACCTGCTGCGACAAGGGCACATTCACTAATATATTCGGCTAAGCTGCAGTACTTTACAGTTATTTTCAATTCGGCAGCTTGTTTCATTCATTTCATGATTTTACATCTTACTTAGCTGCTAACAAGCACATTCATTGAGCACAAAAGGCAAAAATAATTTCCATTCATATGCTGCGCGCAAATAACAAAAATAATTTTCGTTCGTAAATTGAGCACAAATAGAGTTCATTTTACAAATGAAAACTACCCTATATCAACTTCTCACAAAAATGAACAATCAAAAACAAAAACCTAATACATACAACAAAATCTACATATGCTTAATACCAAAAGCAAAATGGAAAATATTCAACTGTCTTCGGGGTCAGACTCCAGCGACTCAACGTCTACCTGCTCGTACGGAATCGGCTGTTCTGATATCACGTTAGCGGCAGCCAAGGCTTTGAGCTAGCCGTGTTTGAACCCCTTATTTTCGAATTTCGGCACTTCTTCGACGTAGTCCCCCAAGGTCACATTCTTGCCAACCCGGAATGACTCGGAAAGTGCAGACTCAGCGTTTGCCTTCGCCCGCCTCGACTCTTCTAGGTCGGCCTCCAGCTTGGCAATCATCTCGTTGGCCAGTCTGAGCGCTTCTTCATTCACTTTCGCCTTTTCTTCAGCGGCCACTTTCAGTGCGACAGCAGTCCTGGCCTCATTTGCTTCTGCATCGGCCTTAGCTCTCTCTTCCACTACTTTCGCGGCCTCAGACTCGACTTGGAGAGAGGCCTCAGCTATTCTCTCCTTCTCTTTTTCCAATTTAACTGTAAGAAAGCCGATCTGTTCGATTGCGTCGTGTTGGCGACGTCCAATCTCGGCTATTCTCTCTGCCACCTGCAAAAGAAAGAACTAGTAAGCTAATATAGAAACTCATGTTTAGCCTTGCAAAGCTGTAAAGGACTACGTACCAATATCGCCGATTGTGTGGCTAACGCGATAGCCAGCAGATCGGCCTCCACCCTAAAAGTTGCTTTGTCAGCCGGCAGAGAAATAGAGGAAGCCAGGCTCAAGGCCACAACCGGGTCTCTTCTAGCCGATGAGTCAGAGCCAACCAGTATGTTTTTTATCTTTGGTTGCACTATGAACGGCGCAACCCAGTCTGATTCTTCCAAGCATGGCCGTTTGTCCACTGGGTCTTCCGAATAAACGGTTTCGTGATCGAATGGGCGCTTTTCACTTCTGTACTCCATCACTTGACCCTCTTGTTGATCGACAACAGTTTTCGTTTCGGCCATTTCGTTCTGAACCACCTCTTCAACAGGAACGGGTGGAGTTTCTTCCCTGGCGTCAGGTGGAGGGGGCGGAGGTTGGTTTTAATTGGCTTCAGTTCTTCTTCGGGCAGTCATCCTCTCAGCGTTTCTCCATTTGGCCAATTAGGAGAGTGACTCGCCAGCCATGTTGTCAGGGTAAGAGCCAAGCAAGTCCCCTACATTTGTAAAAATGTCTTCGAAAAAGTCCCATTGGCCTGAAGCGGGCGGAGGGTCAGACGAATTGAATCCGACTTCCTCAAAAGCCAAATTAAGTGCTTCATCTATCTCGGTTTCCAACCGGTTCAGGTCCTCGGCGACCGGATCGGCTGCTTGTTCTTCCTCTTGTTCCGAATCAGAGGCTTTTAAACCAACCTCCTTTATGTTTTTGAAGCTGGGGAAGATGAGAGCGGTAAGATGGTCTTCACCACTAGGAATTGGAATGTGTTCTGCCGTTGAAAACGTAGAGTAAGACGGCGTGTATTGCAAAAGAATGTGGGTCGCCCTCCCTTGTTTCTGCAGGTTTGGACGGCCAACGAATTGTAGAGCGACTTTAATGTCTACAAGTACAGCGTCATCGGCTAAAACCAATACTTTCTTCAAATTGCCACCTGCATAAACAAAACGGTAAACACATGGAAGGAAAGCCGAATACAAACAAGGTAATCAGAGAAACTAGAGTAAGCTATACGGCCACCTGGTTCGCCTTTTCACCTTGGCACAGAATCTAAGCGATCTTCACCCTTGCCAAATTCCTAGTTGCCTTGAACATCGACCATCACGTCGTCAACATGCTTGCCAGAGCTGGCAAGCATAGTCACTAGGTGATGATCGATATCTTTGGCCCTGAGAAAATAGCGTCCCAGCCGGCCAGTAGACTTGGCTAAGGCATAACAGTGCCGAATTGCAGGTATACCTAAGTTAATCCTAAGACGATGGTTTAACTCTGTAATCCCCATTATGATGCGGAAAAAGTTCACGTTAGGCTGGGAAGGGATTAGACCCCAATGTCGAAGGACGGCTCTTAAAAATGGGTGAAGGAAAAAATGGACTCCGCCCTCAGTAATCGATAGGAGAGGAAAGATGATTGTACTCTCATCGGTCCTCTCCATATCAGTGGTGTTGTCTGCCACGAGTGACAGATGGACGTCGTCGGGGATGGAATAATGGCGTCGGAAGCCGGAAATTCGATCCACAGAAAGGAGCCCTTTCAAATTTTTTGCCATCACAGCCAGCCTAAGGATTATGCAAAACTAAATTAAACAAGGAAATGGTGTTGGAAGTGAAGGAGAAGAAAACTTACAGGAAGCAAAAGGTATGATGAGAGACAAGAGGAAATTGCAGAGGTCGCGATGTGAAGGAGTTGAACTAGAAGGCGAGCCAAAAACTTTGAGTATTCAGAGTATACACTCGAAGAGACAAAGTTTTAAATCACATTAAATGAAGGATGCGTATGAAGAGACGGGAATTTGTAATGATGACCAGAAAACGTGTGCGTTCTGATACACGTTGGAATGAGGTTAGCCACCGAATTTTTGACTTTTCAAGTTCGAAACCAAATACGCCGACTAACTAGTGCTAGTGGGGTGTTTGGGGGGCAATTGTGGGAGCCGGATAAAAGGGGACACAGATAGGCCGAGTACACATTTAGACAATCGGTACATATTATACTCGCCCCCGTCTTGTACGTTCTGGATGCCGAATATCTTAGTCGGCCATAAAGCCAGTTGAACAAGGGGCCGATTAGAAGTTGGAATACGACGAAAGAAGGGCCGAGTGAGCAATCACATGACGGATTAATAGTGGGCCCTATCCTGAGGACTAAGAGCGTATATAAATAGAAGAACAACAACCAAAGAGAGGTATGTGAGAACTAGTACGCTTAACTTAAGGTACAAGTAACCAAGAGAGTATACACTGACTTGTTCGTCAGAGTGCTAATTCTGGCACTCCCGACCGGAGTGTTCATTTTTTTTCAGGTCACTAACTGAGGATCTCGAGCGTCCCAGTGGATCAAAAGAGTATTTCCAAACCACTTCCCCACACAATACAAAAATTAGCTTCTTCTAATAAAAGTTTCTTCTTACACAATTTGCAATTGCCACTTAGGTATGAGACTTCAAATTATTTGAGAAAGTTGCGAGTTACGAGTTGAAAGTTGAGAATTGAGAGAGATTGAGAGTTTGAGAGAAAGAATTGTTTGTGAGAAATAAAATGGGAGGGGTAGTATTTATAGCAATTTGGGAGGAGGGGGTGAATTTGTAAAAAACAAAAAAAAAAAATTGGCTTTTGATGTATAAACAGTCACATTACCGTTTGAAATAAATTATTTATTTATTTTTTTGACAATTAGGACCAGAGAGCCGCTAGGGGGTGGGCCACGGGCTGGGCTAGGTCGAACTAGCCAGCGGGTCGAGTTCACATGACGGGCTAAGTCTATTCAAACCGCGAACAAGTTTTCGCCAATCTATGGATCTACGAGCCATTTTTACACCCCTAGATGGAGTATTGCTGTAAAGAAAATTTTAGGTATATTATGAGATAAGATAAATAAGTGGAGGACCCCTACTTTCCCGCGGGGCACTGTTGGTGCAAAGGGACTAAGACAGGACTTCCAACATGGATTCATGGCATTGGCATGCTGTCTTCGCTGTTTGTATTATTATTTGACAATTGATGTCTAAATAAAGCAACAGAATAGCCCCAAATCCACTGCATTCATCTTCCTTCCTTCCTTCCTTCCTTCCTCTTTCTCGTTCTCTCTCTTACAATTCAATAAACAGAACCGACAAAATCAAACCCACAATTTGTGATACCATGCATGCCAGAAAAGAACTTTCACACCCCTCCCATGTCCCATACCCTATAACTTCCCCATAGCCAGCAACCCTCCCTCCCTCACTCTCCAATCCCCCAAGAGAGAGGGAGAGAGGAGAGAGGAGAGAGATTGTTTGATTTTGATTTTGATTTTGAGCTCAATCTCATTGTTTTTTTAATTTATTTATGAGACATTGTTGAAATAGAGCACAGGACACGGTGGTCAATCCTATGCTCTGTTTTTTTATTGGGTTATGAAACAGAGCACACCTCATCCCAACCCAATTGGATTCAATGCGTTTCTCGTTCCCAATAATCCTTGAATATCTGAAATGGGTCTTCCTCTTTTTCTCCATTTTCTTCTTCTCTCCCTCCCTCTCCGACCCACGAACCTCCATAGCCAATCTCATGTGTCAAACCACCAATCTAACAGCTAACGGCATTTTCTTCACAAATTTCGTCAGTGTTATGGAACATCTCTCCCAACTCATCACCAAACAACAATGGGGGTACTATTCAATCCAATCTCCTCCTCCATCACCCCCTATTTTCGGATTTGCTCAATGTCACAAAGATCTCTCCGAAACCGATTGCCAACTCTGTTTCGCTGAGGCTAGAACAAAGCTCCCTCGTTGCCTTCCTGCTGCTCGAGGCCGAATCTACTTAGAGGGTTGTTTCGTTCGATACGATGACTACAATTTCTTTGAAGAGAATGTCAATCAAAAGGATGATTTGGTGAAGTGTAGTCCCATCACAAAACTTCTGAGCGATCAGGATATACAGTTGGAGTTTGCAGAGAGGGTGAAGGAAGCTGTGAGGAATGTTACGGAGACAGCCATGTCGACGAGCAGGGGAGGGATGGGGGAGGCTGAGGTGAAGGGTGGGATGCCGGGTGCTTACGCGTTGGGGCAGTGTTGGAACACTTTGAATTCCACAGGGTGTCAGGTTTGCTTGGAAGATGCTTGGAAAGATGTCAAGAAGTGTTTGCCTGGTGCTGAAGGGAGAGCTTTGAATGCTGGTTGTTATTTGAGGTACTCTTCTCAGAAATTCTTTGGTAATTGGGAAGAAGAGAAGAATGGTTTTAATGGTAAGGAATCAATCAGTAATGCAATATTCTCTCCACAAATGAATAATGGTTTTTTGAAATTTGGATGAAAGTTGTGGATATTTTCTGATAGATGTTGTTCTGTTGTGCTCTTTCCTAGCATTGGTATGTCTCAACTAGGTTTTTGGTTTTCAAACTAGAGTGAAAGGATTCATTTGTCATACATTAGAAATTCTCTTGAGAATAAAAGTTGACTTGAGTTTCTTTTTCTCTTAATCCGGGACTTCGAAAAGAAGTTTTCTTATTGGTAAATAGTATATGTTTTTGCATTGTGGGTGGTTCTGTTATTTCCTCTTTTTATGCCTGCAAATTGGATTTACTTGGTTTTATTTTAGTTTTGCACATAAATTGTTGTAATATCTGATAAATTGGCTATATAACAAGATGGCTAATTTTTTTTTTTTTTTTATTTAACCGCTGTAAGAAATAAACTAAAAATTAGATCATTTTTCTTTAAATACGACAAAAGGTTAGGTAAATGGTGCCAAATCTTTTCCCTCCCTAAACATATTATATGTGTAAACTATAGGGCTGTTGTTTTCTTTTTCTTTTTAGATATAATCCTTTTCTTTTCACATCTATGTATTTTGCAAACTTCCATGCATAGTTTTCCCTTTTGTTTGGGACATCTTCATAAACTTTATACCTAATTCGGTTGTTTTGGCATCAGGGACGTCTAGTGCGTGGGAATTTTCTGTTGATAGTAGCTGTGAGTGTCTAGGCAATGTTGTCCTCTCTGCTCCTAGCTCTTTTTGGACTTAATATGGCATATGGCAGAATTTGCGAAAAGAGAGATGAAATAGGTTGTCACACCATCTTGAACACTCATTATCTCATCCAAAATAATTTTCATAAGTCTTTATAAATTATGTACTTGTTGCTTCAATTTTGATCATTCTCTTCTTGCTTTCAGAGCGGCAAGAAACTCTGCTGGTGTTCCTATCCGCTGTAAACAAGTTCAAACTTGAATTCATAGTATGAATTGCTCGAGCAAGCACTGATTATTTCAGTGCTTCAAATAAATAGGCCAAAGGAGCTTCTAGTTCTGTTTTCCAATGGGAACTTCCCTGATGCAGGGGATTGTTGCTGTGTAGGAAAGGCTGTTCTTTAATTCAAGACAATTGGGTCGATGACTTTTTTCAATGAGGTGAAATTTTGAATCAGTGGAATTCAGACACAAGAACCCTTGTAAGACTTCTGGGTTGTAGCATTGAAGGTCCAGGACTGCCTTCCTTGTTTAATGAATTTGTACACAACAAAAGCCCTTATCAAACCTCTTTGGTAACGGAATCAATTGTAATTTTTTATTATTTCTTATTTATAAGCATGCTCATGAATTTGTTTGGCTCTCTTTGTTGTTTAATTATTATTGCTGCTCTTTGGTCTTACAAGAGAAAAATACTTAATTGTTTAAATTCCTTGGGGCTTATTTTCGATTTTTTTTGCAATAAAATCAGGAGCAATAACATTTATACAATTCTTTCAGATATGTTAGAAGAGACCCCATGGTATCGATGGAGGACTGGTGTTTTCGTTTAGGTTTGTGTAATTTGAAGCTCAATTGTGTTAACTTGTAATTACTACACAACAATTAAAGGTCACTGAATTCATTCCAAAATTACAGTTGCAAAATGTTTTCATATAATCTAGCACATATCAAACCACACAACATGCCTTTCCTTGTTGGCCTTCATCTACTTATATGTTTAAGAGTTTCCAAAAAAAACTCTCCACCTACGCTGCTTTTACCATCAATTAGTCTAATGAGATTTAATCCTACTACCCTTATGGAGTTTCACCATGACTAATGAGCTCCAAACTGTAACTCTTTTTTTTTTTTTTTTTTTTTTTTTTTTTGGGGGGGGGGGGGTGGGAGGTTTGGGGCGCTATATTATCAATTGGACAAAGCATATAAAGCAAAATCTTAGATATCCTTGCAACCTTCTTTCCAATGTATCTTAAGTGGTGACACTCCTATTATTCTCATGAGATAAGAACAAACTCAAAATTCTAAGCTGGAGGCAGAGGTTCAACATCATACTTGGGAATAGCAGAGGGCTTTGCATTTCTCCATGAGGTTCTAAAAGTGAAAATTAATCGCACATCAGAGACATCAAAAGCAGCAACATCCTGGCCTTGACGAAATCTTACTCAAAGATAGCTGATTTTGGGCTTTGTTTCGATGTGCTTCTGCTGATAAATCCGCATCTTAGTACTGGAATTGCAGCACCTGTAAGAAGATATCTCACTTTTGATCTGTATTCCTTTGTTCTTTAACTAGTTAGTATTGTTTAATTATTTTATGTTAATGATATTGAACTAACAAAAATTAACCTTTTTAACATGGAGTAAATTTACAACAAAAAAAAAAGATAGTAAATTTTCCTGAATCAAGAACATATGGTAACATACATTCTCTTACAAAAAAGTGGATGATGTTCTTTTTTTCCTGGTAATTTTGATGTAGGGGGTAAAATGGCTTCCTGAATCATCTTCTTCGAGGACAACTAACAGAGAAAGCAGATGTTTATGCTTTTGGGGTGCTGGCTCTTGAGATTGCATGGGTAAAAAAACAATACTTTTACACATGATCTGCGTCAGTTTCTACAAAAAATTAAGATTCATATTTTTTCCTTTGTAAAATTTTTTAATGTGCTTTGGCTCATTACGATGTTACCTGTTTCTTTCATTTTTTGACGCAATATATTTATTGATTGATGACTTTCATCCTACAGGCACTATTTCCTCTTTATGAAATTGTTACTGACTAGATTTTTTTCCCCCCTCCCAAAAAAAAATTTAAAAGTAAAAAAAACCTACAGATTGGATCACATTCTTGGTTAGTGGTTTTGCTCACAAGTAAATTTCATGTCCTTATTATATTTTAACAATGTTAGGTTGGAGTAAACATTACAAGGATGTGTACTATCACCGAAGTTTTTAAATCGCAGACTTTAATGGTGAATGATTTCCAAACAAAGAAAACATCGAATGTGGCTCAAATTTGGGCTTCTATGCACGCAAACTTCGGCTACATTAAAGACCACATGTCTGAAGTAGTTAAGATGTTAATGATTAAAGGAAAGTCGCGATACTTCACCGAAACAACCTCACATTCTCATGCCAGTGTCTAGCCCCGACTGACTCTACATGTCTTCTGCACTATGAATAACTTGATAATACAGATTGGCACACAACAATTGATGTCTGCCTGCTAACTCCACCACCGAGCCTGCCTCATGGCTAGCCAGAAACAGATGAGGCTTCCAAATGATTAAAAAATGCGAGCCAAGGTAGATTCTCTTGGTTACTCTGCAAAAGTTGAAGAACACATCACTTTGAAACTTGAAGTTAGTGTGTGTAAAGAGATTTAAATTTTCCCGGTTTTCTAGGAGATGATGGCTGGTTCATATACTAGGACAGAAAGAGAGGCTCTCTTGCTGGTGGGGGCTAATGGTGGAAATTTTAGCTTAGATTTTTTTTTTTTTTTTTTTTTTTTTCAAAGTGATGGTGAGGGGGGAAAAGATTAATTTATCATTCTTCAACCCCACCTCGCAGCCTTTTATCTTCTAGTTGGTAAGGTAGTCTTGTTTTATTTCTTTATAATCCCTAATAGTGAATAACAAAAGAAAAAGAAAGAAGCCAAAGAAAAAAAGCAAAAAAATTTAGGCCACGTGTATATAATGATAGATGGTGGTGCTTTTTCTCCCATTCTCTTTTGGTTATTGGTATAGATCCTAGAAACTCATTAACATGTGACTGTTAGATTCATCAGTGTATATGTTTTGTCGTGTTTTTTGTGTTTTTTTGTTTGTTTTGTTTTTCCTGAAAAAAAAAAAAAAAAAAAAAATGCATTGAAAAAAGTTTGGGTTCAAAATAATGCCTTTGATTCTGGCCCTTCCCTAAAAACATTATTGATGGCTTTCTTAATTATTGCATTAAATCATTCTTTTATGCCATCTCCAAGAACAAGTCCCAAGATGTGAACTTCTCAAACTTCTTGCTCACTCTTGGTTTTGCAATTATGAACAAAAGTAAATCACTCATCATGTACCCAAACTCCTTTAAAACGTGCAACATTACTCTCCTAGTAGAAAAATGTTATTCATATATAAAATTTATACAAACAACATGAGTAATTTGTTAAAAATTTCTTAAATAGGTTGAGAAGTCAAGTTGGTATCATTTGAAAAGTTTAATGCAATAAATGCTGAAGTCAATATTTTTGGCGCAGGAAGTCCATTGAATATATAAAATATGTTTTTATGGCGCGTCACCTGGTGTTTTTAGATATATATATATATATATATATGTGTTTGTTTTTCTATCAATTGTTTTCTTCTCTATCTTTCTCTATCAACAACGCGGTGAGCTTAGAGAGATATTGAGTAAGATTTTGTCAAAGAAGTGGTGGTGGTGGAGATAAATAAGCGAGACAAACAAATGGTGTGATGTGCTTGTCCAATGAATGATTTTTTGTGGTTTACTCGCACATATCATGCGTCATACTAATCGAACCCAACAATTAAAAAAATCTAACCTTTTCGAAACTCATGTTGTTTTTTATTCACAGGCCCTTTTATGCATCTACTGGGATTCGAGTTTGATTTCAAAGATGAGGCTACTGCTGCTTTGAGATGAAACTATGCAGTTTCAAACTAAAATACGTGGTTCGAAACTCGTCATTTTTTGAAATAGCCTTTTACTACAATATTAATCTTAAAACTACGTAGTTTTAAAAACCAAAAATTATGTCGTTTTTGAGTCTTTAAAGTTACAATAAATTTGGCCATTTTCATATAGAATCGGTAGGTGTTCCAAATGATTGAAAAATAAAAAAATTAAAATAAACTATCATTACAAAAGACCGACTCAGCCATCGAACCATGCGCTCACAAGATCAATCTAATCCCTACACAAAAAAAAAAAAAAATGCATTGGAATAAATACCACACATATTGTAAACAAAAATTTAGAATTACATAGAAAGTATATTACCACTTGGAACTTTGTGGAATTGGTATGATGCTTGGAAAGAACAAGTGTTTAATAGTAGGCCTAAGTTTGGTGGGCAATAGCAAATTAACATCAAATGCATGAGAAGATTATATCTGAAATTCATCAGTTGTGGCGCAATAGGGTATCT